TGAAAATGCCACAGGGTGTATGCGCTCACCAGAGAGGCAGAGAGAGATGGGGAGAAAGCACCCCTCACGGGGTGTGGCTATGCTACAGTCTCTTCTCCATCGCACTATCCTGTCAGGGTTTGGGGGCACACGTACACACGTGCCTGGCATGTTCAGGCTGCCAGGGCTGGAATTTGAACCAACGTGGGCTCCAGCACCCTCTGACCACCAGGTCATGGAGCAGAAGCTTTGCTATCTTTTTTTCCTACTACTTCTCTTTTCCTTGCTTCACTCTCCAATCCTCTGCTCCTTTTAGGCCTCCTCCCCCTGCTCTCCTTTGCTGGTGTTTAAGCTAGTCGCCCATCAGCTTACTGCACTAAAGTGAGTTGAATCTTAATGAGCCTGTCAAAATCATTAAAAAACCAAAACAAGAAACAGCCCTGCTGACAGCTGAGTGAGTGACAGTTTTTTGCACCTAGGAGATAATGAATGGACAGCCTGGCTGGGAATTATCTCTGAGCAAGGCTGTGGGAGGGGCCCCTAATTCCACCTGGCAATAGCCTTGTACTGAGACCTGCCTGATCATCCCCAGCTGCTATAGTAGTGGCTTCCTTAAGTTGTAAACAGCTCCAACGCGAAGGGAGGGAGATGGATGGGAGACGGTGGGAGACCCTCTCTTATCTCTGTGGTCCTCTGGGCTTCATGAAAGCAACTTGCGAGAGAAAAACAAGGGGAAGGGAAACCTCCTTGTTGGCTCTTTAGCCAGCTCTTTACAAGATAATTCAAGGAATTAACAAAGATCATGTGTGCCATGGAGGCAGGTAAGAAGCCTGGTGCATAGCAGGTGCCTCATAAATGCAGCTGCATTTGATGCATGAGGCTGAATTGGAATGACTTAAGAACTTGCTCAGGTCAGGAAGAGAAATGAAAGTATTATACAACCACCTTCTGAAAGTGCTCTGGTTAACTAGGTCCATGTGGCTATATTGTCACAAGGGACTTGGTTCCAAGGTAGTTACCTTTCTCAGTTTACAGATGAGAAAACCAAGGCTTGTTTCCCAAAAGGCACAGCATTTCAAAGTGTGACAAAGTCAGGTTCCGAAGGCAGATCTTACAACTCAAACCTCTCAAACATGCTTTTCCTGGAGAGTTTCAATTTAAAACAGCTAGGAAGCTAGCAGAACTAAAACAACCATTTTCCCCCCTAAAAACTAATCTTTTCTAGAGAGTAGAGGATTTTAAGAAAAACTGCTAGGTAGGTGCATTTAATTTGGGGAAAAGTGAAAAAGTTACTGGCTCTTTCTGATCCAAGGTCTTCTAAGACCTTAGCAAACCCTGGTCAATTGCATAAGTACCATTTTTTTTTTAAGTATATGTATTTATAACTTCCGAGAGTGAGAAAGAAAGGCACTCCAGTAGGCTTTTCCTAAAAAGAAGAATTATTTAATTTTATTATCTATTTTTATAATTTTGCTATAGGGCACGTGCAAGAGAGAGCAAGAAAGCAAGCAAGCAAGCTTCTAGGTCTGGGACTCGAACCACTGTCAATCATGTGGGAGTTCAGTGTGCCTTAATCACCATGCCACCTGCTGGCCCTCCAATAGTTCTTAACACTGCAACCCATATCCACCCTCAGCCAGCCCAGATCCTCATGCTCAGGATGGGCTTTCAATCTTGAACCTATAACCAACCCACGTGGTTCAACCTCGTCGAGCATTGCACCTTTCTGGCATGCTTACCTCTGGCTCCTGTAACCACCATTATTTAAGCAGGTGGATCTTATTCCCTGACAGAGCAAGTGGCAGAAAGATAAAAGAGGACAAAGATGAAGATTTATTGGGTATTTTGTGCCAGACACCAGGCTGGGCTCATTAAATAAGTTACCTGGCTAACCGTTAACCCTCACACACTAAGTTCTGTTATTATACATCTTACAATGGAGAGAACGAAGGCTTAAGGAGGTAGAGCTAAACTCACACAGAGACTAAACTGCAGCTGGACCCCAGTCTGCCTAGGGTTCTCCCACATCCAGCTGAAGGCCTGCTGGAGGCGAGGTGCCCTGGAATGCAGGGTGGTAGGTTCCCCAGAGTGGAGTCCTCCTTTTCCGCCAGAATCTAAATGTCCGGATGACTCATCCACTGATGCATGGCACAATCCTTGGTTTTAAAATAACAAATCCCCATCATGAAAGCCAGTGCATTTCGATGTTGCATAAATCCTTTTATAATGATCACTTGGTGTCATTGGCTTATTTAAATGACACATCACTTCTAAGAAAGCTTTTTCCTCTCTGCTCAGCCCTCTCAGTACTGGCCAGAAGAGGAGTAACTCAGTGGCTCTGCATAACAAGTAGGAGCTGGAGGTGGTTTAGATACTCCCATCTCCTGAGCAGTTTCTGCAGCAAACCGGGAGGGGCTGTTTTGTCATGATAAATTCCCCAGTGTGCAACATTTTTCTTTTCCTTGCAAATGCAGCTTGATGACCAGTGGTATTTGTTTTATGCAGATTCCCATGATCTCCACACTGCATCCTTGAGGCAATGCAATGTGTCTCCACATGACATTTGCTGTTATTAAATGTTGTGGAAGATGGAACTTAAATGGGCACACAGGGTTGATCTGAGACTTCCCATCCCCCACTCAACAGACATGGGCGTCTTCATTCTAGGAAAGCCTGGAGGCAATGTGTCTGGAAACCCAAGCCCACAATATTAAGGCGGGTGATTCCTCCCCTAACAACAACGAAAACCATGTGGGGCCTCTCACTGGCTCACTGTGGTCTCATACAGGGCTGAACCTCAAATACACTGAGAAAACCACTCCAGGGAGGGCAAACAGAGAGCCAGGTTTTATCAGAGCAGTCCCTTGGATATTCTACTCCAGACACATCCTAGAGGTGTCTTTTCAGGCAGAACCCTGGGCTCCCCCACAGGCCCAGGAAATCGACTCTTCAAGGTCAGAGCCCAGGAGTCTCGATTTTTAAGGAGCATTTGATCCTGAAGCCAATAAGGTTCAAGCTAGGCAGGCTAGTAGTTACACCGCAGGTTCCTTTACTTATCAGGGTTATAGCTTTAAACTCTCTAAGCTTCAGTTTCCTCTTGTAGAAAATAGAGATAAGCACAGCACCTGCCTCATGGGGTTAGCATGAGGATCAAATGAGATTAACACCTTAAAGCACCTGGCACAGGGCCTGGCTAATGCTCAGCTGGTATGTAGAGGCACTGCCTAGCCATTACTCAAGTACTTCCCCTGCTAACAACGAACTGCTGCTGCCTTCAGCCCACCTTCCACATCCTGAGCCCTGAGGGACTCCCTAGACTTACCATCCACTGACTAAAGGGTTCATGCCCAACACAGCAGGGGAGCCTCCAGGCTATTGCTCTGGGTCTGTGAAGATGGTGGTTAACACTCTTCAACTGCAACCTCTCTCTGCTTGGTAGGTGTAACAGAAAAGAAATTACACAGACTGAGGTGCGCCAGATGCTTGGGCCAGTGTCGATTAAGGAATATTCCCCCATCTCCAAGGATGACTTTCAAGGCAGGCCTGCCTGGCTGCCACCTCTGGCCTCTTAGGACATTGATGCTGGACTTTCTTCTCTTTGACATTACTGTGTTAACCTCTGGTCCCTCTGACCCAATCACTGGCCTTTGGAAGCTTGACTGGCACCCTGTTTTCTTTGGCCCCTGGGCCGCCTGTTTGTATTTGACCTCTCTGGAGTCTGGCCATCAACTCTCAGGGTTCATGCTGAGGCCCTTCCCACTGCAGACTGGCCTTAGCTTCTAGGCCATGCCTTTCCACATTTGGGTGCTGCCTTCCCCAAACACCTGCCCTAACTCACCATTTTGATGGTCTCAGATACCAGGACCCAGTCCTTCTGGGCCTCATCCCTTTTACTGCCCCCCCCCCCCCCCTGATTCCAAGTTCGTAATCT